TTTGGCTTATGGATGTGTTGAAGAAGACATTGTGGGTTGCACCATGATTTCTTCTTTAGCATTGAAGTTTGCTTCTATGAGACTCGTGATCATTATTAGGCAAGACTTAGCTATAGGCTTCTTCGAGCTTTTGGTTCTTTGACTTTTCATACTCATCGTTCCATTTGTCCGGAGTTATTTGGGGAAGGCATTTTTGGCTCTTTAACTTCGATGTTGAAGTTGGTTTTTGCATCTAGCAATCATTGGTGATGATTGACTATCATCTAGGAAAGTTGATTATCCTTGTCAGAGGTTTTGCTTGATTATCGTTGATCTAGATTGATTCGCTATTCTTCAGGATGGTGGATTCCTTCTTAGATGATGATTTTGCATCTCTTTATTGATGGGATGATTGATGATCTTTCATGATGGTTAGTTGTTCTTTTTGATGGCTTATGGCTTTTCGCAATACCACATATTCTTTGTGGTTTGCTCTGGATTGGTCTCTTGGGTTTGAGACGTCAGTAGGATGTTGCTGACACTTGCTTAGGCAACTTGAGTTCCTTGGTATTGTTGGCTGGGATCTATTCAGATTGGCTTTTATGATAGTTGGCAGGCATGAGTGTTTGTTGGTCTTACCACATTCATTCTCTTCTGTTGATTGTTGCTCGAGTTAGTTTTGATAGATTTGGATGTTATTTCCTTTGGGTGATACATTCGCGAGCATTGTGCTTGTTAGTCAATGATATTTTGTGTTCTTTGAGTTATCTTTCGTAAGTTGTTTGGCATTCTGTCTGCAATCTTTAATAGTTAAACTTTATCATTGAGTTTACTTAATGATATACTTGCTATTGAATTTTGTTTGATGGTGAATCCTATGTTTACCAAATATGCTGATCTTGGTGGTTCCTGCACTATAATACTAGTTTATCGGATGATAACTTACTTGGAATACATTTGTGTTCTCATCTAAGCTTTATTCACTGATAATTAAATCTTTAAGATATCATTGTTTATGACTTTGATATAGTCCCTATCTATTGATCTTTGAGTTTGGGCCAGTATAGGCAGACTGGCTTCGGCACTTCGTGTGCATGTTGAAATCTCTAGTCATGGGGTAACTACTGTCGACTGGTCACATAACCCGCCTCTCTGTCGATGTTCCTTATTCTGTGAAAGGGCGTGACCGTGTAAACAACTCTACACTGCCTGTTGACAGTAGCCTATCTAAACCTTACCGACGGGTTTGGTTTCTTTGCTCATGAGGGTTGGGGCCTCTGGCTTCTCTCTCTATGTCTCTGCGGGCAGGGCATATCACACTTTTGTAGCTGGGTGACACCCAGAGCAGCAAGGGTGGCTGACTCCGTTAGTCATTTCCTTGTCGGTGACGGCCGGAAGGTGTCTGAGCTGGTAGCGCATCCGCGTTAGACAAAGAGGTTCCCCCTAACTCATTTAAGTTGGTGCATTTCTCACATAGTGTGAGTACCGTGAACTTTTTCTGGAGTTGTTTCCTTGGCGGTATTTTAGACTCGAGTATGCATCGACGAGGACGTCGATCTTCCCAAGGGGAGGAGAGTGTCGCGAATGTGACTTCGGGTATCGAAAGTTACCTGTCGACCAGTCCTTACGGACACTCTTACCTTACTGCCACGACGGCAGGAGGTCGGTATTGCTGGACCCTTTATCAGTCCCTCTTGTGCTAGTGGAGTTAACTAGGCATTTCGAGTGTACTTAGACCGGACGAGCATAAGGACGGAATTCCTACGTGTTATTAGCTAAGCATACTTAGCCCGGTAAGGAGTTCCCGTCTCGTTATGTCTTGCACTGGCTAGTGACAAGAACCCTCGCGTATTGAGATTGGTCCCTCAATATCGCTAGATGATAGCTTACCGTGTCTGCCAAACACCCTCGCTGTCACGCCCTTTGTGTTAGTCTCATTTCGGTCCCAAATGCTATTTATGGAAAGTGTCTAGATTAGCTTATTTGGCATGTCTACAGAATGTAGAGATCGGCCTGAACACAATAGTGTTCGTCCCGTGTCCAAATTCGCAATCTAAGGACATTCCATATTTAGTAAGTTTCGAGCTTGTCCCAGAGACTAACTCCTGGTACTAAGGGAGGCTTGGGGTGAAAGCCCAAAGCGTGTGTTCCTCAAAGGGGGGGGGGGGGGGCTATGGGGGGTTCCAAATGTATAGTAGGGATAGTGGGTAGGTCGGGCATGGCCCACCAACCTGAGGCATAATCTAACTTCTGCTTGCGTGCCTGTCCTTGTTCTGCATCCGGCTTGGGTCTAAACCCAAGTTCCATTCCATGCTAACTGGGGGAATACCCATATCCTCCCGTTAGGCCACCAGTATGCTGAAATAACCCCAAAATCCATTTGGCTCCGTTTTGCGTGCTGGTCCTGGCATTGGGATGCTGGTTGCTCCAGGACTGTTCCAAGTCGCTCCGGGCCCCTGTCCCTTCGCTCCTTGGGCTGTATGCTCGGGAGTTGCTCCGTGGTCCGGTTCCATCACTCCTTGGCTCCACGCTTGGGAGTTTGGCACCGTTCCTTCGTTCAGTGGCCCAAGGCCCTGAACCTCGGGTTCCTATGGACACGTGGCATGGACTCGTGGCATGTGACACGTGGCATCTGTCACGTGGCACAAAGAGGGTTTAGGTTCCGCTTCGTGGTGTTATCCTATGGTAAATCACCATAGGATAAAGGGTCAAAACCACGTGCGCTACAACCTAAAACATTAGTTTGGCTTCCACTAGCTTGTGTCACTCTTTGTTCTATGTCTAACTTGGGTCGAAGCCCAAACTCCATGCTACTCTAATCGATACCCTCCTCCTCACGTTAGGCTACTAGTATGCTGAAATTGTGCCAAACACTGTCTAACACTATTTTGTATGCAAGTGTTGGATACGGGGAGCCAATGCTCATAGAATTGAGAGTGTACTACACCCTCATCTTGTAGTGCAACGGCCTTGAAGTTCAACTCTAAATTCAAGTGTGCTATAGTGATGCCTTTTGCAAAAACTCTATAAGGGTTTAAATATAGAAAAAAAAAGGCCCATAAATAAAAGTGCATCCCATTTTTTAATTAATTGGGATATTTAGGGTTAAGTGTCCTTGGATTTGAGTAGTATTGGGCTAGGTGACCTCATGGGAAGTTTGAATCAAAGAATTTACATTTGGTATCAGAGGGGTCTTGGGTTTGACTCTATTAGTTAGTTAAGTTGAGAGGAGCAAATGCCACTAGTGAAATTGCTAAAAACATTATCGATCTCAAGCCTTTAAATGGAGCTGCATATATCTTTCTCTCAAACATGGGGAACTACACCATATATTGAGATTGATATTTGGCAAGTCCAATTTGCCTCCAGTTGGGCTCGACCTAAGGGGTAAGTTGTCAACTCAATCATGATATCCCCTATTACCAGAGAAGCCTCGTGTCCTAGCAAAAATGGACTCTTACATGTGGGTGCTAGTATGAAAAACACTATTCCATGAATTAGGACAAGTCAAAAAAAATGTTGCGTGATGGATATAGACACTCCATCATCATAGATGCATAAAGAAAACCACATTGTATTGGGCAACTAATGGGGGATCTCACAAATAAAAGTGTTTCAAGTGTGGAGTATCATCCCACTAGAGAAATTCTTCAAATGCTTATGATTCAATAATAGCGTGAGCAAGCAACATTGATCTTGGTTTAAGAAAATAATTGAAAGTACATATTCTCTATATGTTCTTCTCTCAGACTTCTAACAAGAGCTCTTGCAAAGATGGATGGCAAGTGGATAACAAAAGTCCATAATTTCATTTTAGACTCACCCAAATTTTGTTCAAGTGAATTAATATGGGTTTGGTGCAATTCACAAAGCCCCTTAAGATAGCCCTCTAGTGGACTGCAGTTGACACTAGCCCCCATCCTTTCAAAGAGTCCTTGCAACCCATTTTTTTATAATCTTATGTGATTGTTGTAGAATGTTTTTAGATAATTAATACAATTGTCATCTAAGTCTCAAAGCATATGAAAACAGGAATATAGAATAAAATAGTTATATAGTTAACAACAAATGGTAAACCAAATATTCTAAAGATCCAGCAAAATACCCTTAGAATTGTTGTTCCACTTCACAAGAGAACATATTGGATCCAATTTATGTGTCTAGAACTATGGAATATCCTTCATGGGCATCACTTTAGAGAATCATAAATTGATTAGTCCCCCATAACCATTTTCTTCATCAAACAATTGTTTGGCAAATAATGGTTTTTGTTTGCCTCGCTAGGAGGTATGGTAGTGCATCCATTTTCTTATGTCACATTAGGAGTATAAGCAAAGGAGTGGGGATAAGAATAGTGCACTGTAAGAAAAGTTCTATAAAGTCAATAAAGTCATGGGCATTCTTGGAGGAGCTCTAAAAACACTTTAAAACCCACCCTCAATTATGCCATACCAAGTGAGACACTAGAAATTTATAAATCATAGAACTAACATGAACTTCAACTAAAAAAATTCACTACTTTACAAAGTTATCTTCCAGCTTCTCTTTCTTTTATTCTATGACATTAATGCTCAATAAAGTCTAGATTCAAAAACTTGAGGTATTTTTCCTTCTTATTTCAAATGCCAAGACAAGTCTTTTTATCCCCATTAGTCATTTTGAGATTGAGAAGGTTTGAAAGAACTTTGAACATCCCTTTGTTTCATTTTGAAGATAGCTAAATTATTAGAGCGCAAGAGAAATGAACCTTATACCAAGATTTGAATCTTGCTCATATATTGAATTTGGATTCTATTTTCTCAATGTTTCCTTGAAACTAGAGATCCACTTGGACTAAAGTGCAACTTCCATCACAATGCAATAAATATAGTAAAAAAATTTCATAACACTCAGGATTTTCAAAAAACTCATCTAAAGAATCTTACATGGGATCATTTACAGTGATATCTAGAATGGCATGGATGAATGGGATCATGATCCATAATGTGACCCATGCATGGCCCATTGGTGCATAGGATGGGTACATAAATATGAATGATATGGATATTAGATACCAAATATATACCATTCCATGTGAAGAGGTGTGGGCATATTTTACAAAATGTCCAATAGGTATAAACCACGTGGCATAAGCATAGTAGGTGTCACGCTCCATCTAATCCGGAATAAAATACAATGGCCAAAACTTTAGCTCCTTGGTGCTCGAGACGTCACGTACGCGAGGATTTGCTCGTGCGACATATCTCCCTTTTCAAGTAGGCCATTGATTAAAGTGTTTTGATACGCCACCGAAGGAGCCCGGGTGGGAAGCTCCCCACACTCGAAACGTTTTGCATCTCTTTGCGAGCACCTGGAGGAATGTAAAACATGCATTGCATACCACTGTGTAAAACAGAAGCACTTACGTGATTGTGAGAATCGGCGCTCCATTTTTGTCGCCAAGATATAAGACGCTGCCATACCACGCGTTCTACAACAAAAAACCAATAAAAACCATGCACAGTAACAAGAATCTACCTCAATGAAGTCCACAATATGAGGTGAACTTTTCAGCGTCTCAAAGTGGGATGGAGAAACCAAGCCGCTAGCTGCCACTGAGTCGAGCCTGTTCTCTTGAGCGAGTATACCATTGAACTGTTCTAGCCTGCACACAAAGGAACGAACATCAGCCCAAAATGGATCGGGTAGTTTGCCGGACGTTATTTTGTATGCTCGGAGATGGCAATTGTCGCCATCAGATGGCACTGGATTCAGGAACGCAACGCCTCCATTGCCCCACGAAAGAGATCTCTCTCGTCCAAAAAATAGTCGATGTGGAGCTGACAGCCAAAAGTCTTCCAGCGGCGGAGTTTTTTCAAGTAGACCTTGTCCTGGCACTTCAATACCTTCGACCTGCGAAGACAATGAGGAACCAGAAATCCAGAAGTAAGAAACACTATACCTTGCCACCTTGGATGTAGCACATCAACCGAGCTGGCCACATATTAGAGCCATAAGTTGCGTACCATATGTATGGACTCGGGCTGTGAGGACTAGAGACCTCAGAACTCACGGATATCTGGACAATCTCCACAGTTTCTGAGCGAACAAAAACCTCACCATCGTGTGTTTCTTCGACTGCATCAGCCTCGGTAGTAAGCCTTTCGAAAGCCTTAACAAGTTCTCCATGGCCCGTAGTATTGCTGATTTCTGTAGTCACGACCACCTTTTCATCGAAGCTAAGCTTAGGTGTCTCCAGCTCTTCCTCCACCTCTTCCTCTGATTCCTCTTCAAATTCATATTCCTAGAGGGATAAAGAAGCAATGGATTATGCAAGATTAAACAAAAGTTTGTACCTTGGGAGGAGAGGATCTGGAAGCCGGCATTTCGATCTTTTCACGCAGAACAGGCCAGTATTGACACAGCTCCTGTCGGACCTGCCAAATAGCAGCTACACTTTCTTCACTATCACTCACTTAAGCACATTGCCCTGTGAGTGAGTCCAGAGATAAATAAAGAAATGCAGTATCGCGGAAGAGAGTCTTACCTTGTCAATGGTAGTCCATGTAGACTCGTAAGCTTGCTCAATCTCGTGGCGCTCACTTTGAATATCTCCAAGTAGAACTTGAACGCATGCCAAATACGATTCAGCAATCGACTCAAGGTTGTAGCCTCCCTCAAGAGCTAGAACAATTTTTCCTCCAGCCAGTTGCATAAGCTAAGTAGAAAAACAGAAGAAAAAGAAAGATTAGAAGGCACAACGACAATGCTTAGCTACTTACTTCCTGTGTCATGATCGAGTAACCTAGTGGTGTAAGCTTACAGCCACCCAACGGATCTCCTCGAGCTGAAAACACAAAAAAGATTAGATAGTTCACCTTCTATTATAAACTCATTCAAATGCGACCTGAATCAAAACCTCCCGATATAAGAACTATGTCAGGATTGAACTCCCTGGCCACTGGCATCAATACGTGCTCCCAAACAGCGACATAATCCGCGTCGCTATATCCACCACGAGGCCACGGGACATTGATATTAAACCCCGCACCGGCACCTCCTCCAACTTTATCGAAATTCCCTTCCTGACCTCCAGGGTAGAAGTATCCATCGTCATATCTTTCGCATGAAAAACCGTTATAGAAACAAATAGAAACAAACGAGAGCTGAGTCCATACCTGTGGACAGAGAAGTATAAAACGTTGGGATCTTGCCAAAACATGTTTTGGGTTCCATTTCCATGGTGAACATCCCAATCAACGATCAAGACTTTGTGCGACCCCGCCACCTACATCGAACAAAGCGCGTAAAGAAAGTAGAAACTTAAAAAAAAAGAGCAAACGAACAAGAAAAAGCAAAACAAGAGAAAAGAACACTCACTTTTCCCGATGAAAGAATTTGAGCTGCTACAGCAACGTTGTTAAATAGGCAGAATCCCATAGCTTCATCCGCTTCAGCGTGGTGCCCGGGTGGTCTCACTATAGCAGCGGCGGACGCGAGCTCTCCTCGAGCAACTTTGAGAGAGAGCTGTGGAATGTGAAGAAAGAAACTAGATTTCATTCCACACGAAAAAAGAAGAGGGAAGGTTACCTCCACGACGGATCCGGCAGCTAGAAGTGCCGATTCCGACGAGCCATCGTTGAAATATATCGAGTTGTAGCGCCTCGCGAGAGCTGCTCGTCCTTCTTTCCCATAAGCTCTGCTGCTCACGGACGACATCTTCTCGATGTGCCTCTCCGTGTGGACTGTCGCGAGCTCTTCCGCCGTCGCTGGCCTCGCGTCCACTCGCACGCACCTGGCCAAGCATCCATCGCGCGGACGATCGAAATATTTCCACCGCGCAAAGAAAATGTTACCTGTCCAAGACGCCTGCATCCTCGAGGCGCTGCCAGATCGCTGTAATCCTCGCCGGCTGCTCTGGATGGAGCTTGTTGAAAGGATCGCGGTGCGCGCACATTCGCCGATCATACACCACTCCCACCGCCATTGCTCTCTCAAGAACCCTAAGTTTTAGCTTATAATGTTAAAAATCAAGCCACGTGTACACAAAAGCTATCCTACATGGCATAAACTATCTTCCACGTCACGCCTTTAATGCCAGATCCTTTCGCAAAATCTTCCCCGACGGCGTCTTTGGAATCGCATCGATGAAAGTCACTCTTCGTACTCTCTTGTGAGCAGCCACCTTTGTAAAAAATCCCCAAAAAATTCATGAGCGATCCAGGAAGAACACGAATCTAAAAGAATCTTACATTTCTAGCGACGAAAACTCTCACTTCGTCCTCCGTGAGCTCTCCATCAGCGCTAGGAACGACAAATGCCACGGGAATCTCCCCGGCCTCCTCGTCTTTGGACCTGATCAATCCATATCAGGTAGAACGCAATGGACAAAAACTTAGCTCGAGGAACCAAAGCTTACGCTACCACAGCAGCGTCCAAGACAAGAGGATGGGTTAATATCAATGCTTCTAGCTCAGCCGGGGCGACCTGGAAACACGAAAAAGAAATTTTTGATCCACAAGAACTTCAAGGCTTTCGCTTGGTGGTACCTGAAGGGTCTTGTACTTGATGAGCTCTTTGATCCTGTCCACCACGAACAAGTTCTCCGCGTCGTCGAAGTAAACAAGATCTCCAGTTCTCAGCCAATCATCGCTGATTATGCTAAGCTTCGTTGCCTCCGGATTGCTAATGTAGCCTGTAAAGCACACCATGCTTTAGAAACCTCAAACAAAAAGTTCCTTGTACCGAGCATCGTTGTCGGAGAGCGTAAAAACAATTCTCCCTGGCAGTTTGGAGGCAGCGCGGCACCGCTACGAACGTCAAGAACTTTGGCTTCCACATTGGAGAGAAGGGTTCCAGCTGATGCTGTGTTACCACTTGCGACTGTGTCGTTCAAGGTGAGAGCCCCTGTCGCTTCGGTGATGCCATAAAGCTGAGAAAAAAACACTAATGTACTCAGTCCGGCAGAGTGAAAGCCTCACCTGAAAGAAAAATGCGTTTGGAAGTAAATGACTTAGAGTAAGCACCAGGTCCTCTCCCAGTGGGGCTGCACCACATAAACTAGCTCGCAAGGATGTAAAGTCGTGCATCGTTGTGGTCTTGAGAAAAGAGAGCGTTAAAACACTGGAGTTCTTAGAAATGTGAGCTTACCTTTTGCAAAAACTTCGCGAGAGTGATGATCACCGGAGGAACGACATAGATGTGCGAGATCCGGTAGCTTTCGACCGCCGCTAGCATCGTACGCAGCTCAAAGCCCGGAAGGATCACTAGCCGGTTCCCAAGGTAGAGCTGCTTCAAAGTCACTGCAACCAGTCCAAAGATGTGTGACATTGGCAAGGCGCAAAGAGGAACGTCGTATGAAAGTTTTCGTCCGGCAAGAGCACTCTCATATAATTCTTCGCGAGCAAGCTGCAAGATTTGCGCGACGACGTTGGCGTGAGACAGCACCACTGCCTTGCTCATCCCGGTCGTTCCCGACGAGTACAAAATAGCTGCTGGATCGTCTCTGTGAATTCGTGGCTGGACAGTCGAGGAAGCTCGTACTTTCACTGCCTTTCCGGGATCTTCTGCTAGAGAAAACGATCCATCGTCATCCATGACTATAGTTTCCAGGCCCAGTCCTCTTGTCTTGAACAAGAGCTCGCTAGTTGTGATCACCATCTTCGCGTTTGCAAGCCTTGCTTGGAACTCGACGTCTTTAGCAGATCCCATTGGACTGGGAGTAGCAACCACAGCTCCAATCCTGGCAATGGCCATCACTGCAAGCGGATAGTATATCGAGTTTGGAGCCAGTAGCATCACAACATCCCCCTGCTCGATCCCCAAGTGATGGAGACAAGTTGCCAGAGATACTGTTTCTTCCATGACTTGATCAAATGTAAGCTCTCGTCCCGTGACTCCATCCATCAGCGCGACATTGTTGGCCGGATTTAAGATGTTTTTCGATGAAACGAATGTTGCAAAGTCCAGCAGCTCGCCCTCCGGAAACACGATATCACAGCGGTCACTGGCGTAGATCCCAGACTGGCGATCGTAAGCTGCGCTGGTGACTTTTCTTTTACTCGTGACGCCCATGCTACTGAACACCAGATAGCTCTTCCTCTGGCTTTGATGGCCCTTAAAGAGCATGGAGGTCTGGAGAGCGCACGAAGCAGCAGCCATTAATCCGCTGAGAAGTACATATCTTCGTATCTGATATACAAGGAGGGCGGTCTCTACAAAGAAGCTTTAGTGTCAGGAGGGAAAAATCCAGTACAATACTTAACTAGATTTTACCAGCGGAAATTCTTCCATTCCCGACGTCTGTGATCTTGTCTTTCCTCCGCCTGTGAAGAACAGCAGCTCTCGGCGGCACAATCTTCGCTCTCGCTCGCAGTTTCCCATTCGGATTCCTCCTGGCCCTCAGGGGCAGATAGATCGTCTTCCACTTCGCTGCTCGAGCCAATATCACCACCACCTTCTCGTTCGCCACCTTCGCATTGTACTCCTCCATGCTTCGCAGCAGCCTCGTTAAACAGCCATATCGCCTGCATCTGCTTCTTGATCAGCTGATCCACGTATCTGGGAACTTTGCTGTTTCCCTTGCCCTCCGATTCGCCAAAAGACTCGTTGACGAATAAGATGGCGTCCAAAAGGCTCTCCTTGGCCAGTCCCAGGCAGTCGTAAGCCTGTGATCTTCTCCACAGGCTCTTTCCATGTCGGTTGACTGGGTTGTGAATGCACAGCGCTCGGGTAGTGTCGCTGATCGCAGCCTCGGGATTCTGGAGAAGTAGCTGGCACTGAGCTCTGTTGCTATGAAGTGTGACTCTTTCCTTCTTAGCCTTGATCGGACAAAGTGCTAGAGCCTCGGTGTACTTCGTTGCGGCTCCTTGAATGTCACCAGCTGAAAAGTAGGCGTTCCCCTCCAGCTTGCTCACGAGAGCTGCTGCGAGCCTGATTTGCACGTCCTCTTTCGGTAAATTCTTCTCCATTCTTACTCGATCGTGAAAGGCCTCCAGCTGCTTTATCAAAGATCTTGTTCGCGGTTGGAATTTCTTGGAAAGGTCGACTTCGTTCTTAAACACTAGGTTCTGCACGAGTAAATTTCCAAGCCTCTTGTATTCCCCTATGGTTGGTAGTTCTGCCAAATCAATAAGAGCAAGAAGTGCTTTGTCGAGAACCTGGCAAAAAAGAAAATTTTAAAAGAAAATCAGATTGAAACGAACTTCCAAAGAAAACATGAACTTGCCTTGGACCTACTGTCAACGTCTTGGATCAACCACACAAGACAGTCCACCGCCATGTGTTGCCAGTCATCCGACGAGCGAGAGACGTTGCATAGAGTTTCAATCACCGCATCACACTCCGCAACAGCCTGCTTACCCAGCCTTCGATGGCATAAAGTTCTTATCAGCCCGACACCAGCGGGCGAGTTCTCGTTCGCAAGGCCTCCCCACGTACCAGAAAGCTTGATCAGATACTCCGGTTGACAGATGGTCGACAAGAACTCATCCTTGAACGCAAAGCAGTTGATGAGTTGCAATGACCAGCACTGAAGCTGGCTCGCCCAGGCCTCGGCATTTCTCGACTCAACCTCCAAGCCTCCAACTCCTCTGGTAAGAAGGTCACAGTGGTAAGCCAGCCTCTTGTCCACGAACTGGAGGAAATGCGTGTAGACAATCTCCGGAGCATCGACTGATAGTTGCATGGAGAGGTCCAGAATCTCACCATAAGCTGCAATGTAAGGAAAGGTAACGTCGTAGCTAGCCAGGTGACCAAGAGCACGCACCGCCACCCTCTGTTCCACCCAAGTCATCCTCCCTCGAAGAAGCTCCAGAAGCGCTGGAATCACTCCCGCCGAGACTGCTCTCTCGGCAAAGTCCTCCACCACCATGGTATACGAGCCGATGATGTGAGCTGCGTAGTAAGGAATAAAGATGTTTTGGTCGTGCGCCAGCCATCGCCTGTTGGTGAGGCCTTTCCAGATCAATGCGGCCATGCATTCGAAGACCCCGAGATCGACGAACTCGGCATTGCTTGGCTGTGCCATGGCGCTGTTCCATAAGCCGCTGATCGGGATAACCTGTCCATCGTCGTCTTCACCGGGGAGATCCTTGAAGAACTTTGCAATGCTGGGGCGGCGCTTGGATGGATTTACGTCTCGCATGAGGCAGAAGAAGCATCCGGGGTATGGACAATCGGAATCGCTCTTGTCCATCCTTGCGCCTATAAAATCCTATAGAAGTAGCTCCATCAGACCTGGAGAAGGAAGAAAAACAAAGTTTGATCACCCGATCATTGCTGAGAAGTGAAAGGAAATCGAATGGGAGTACCTTTTGGATCACAAGCTTGGGCAAATCGGCATCGCTAAGTCAACAGCTCCACTAAATGCTATCACTCGGGCCGTCCGGCAGCATTGACCTCTTGGGGGAAGTATTGGAAGGAGTGAGAAGATCAGAGCAGGGAGTGGACTTTTTGACAGAAATATCTGGCGCTCCTCACCTCGATCGCTGCGCAGGGATCAAGAACACTGGATCTTGCGAGGCGCGGTAGCTGAATGCTGATGCCAGGCTGAGAATCACCGCAATGCCGCTACGGCGCCCGGCAGGAACGAGCGGGCGATCGATGGATCGTCCGGGCGCCTTGCGCGCGAGTGACCTAGGGTAGACTGGTACCTGCGTGGCCGCATTCAATACTACTCTACTACCACGGCTGTTTCAGTGGATTTCTATATGCAGAGAATATCTTTACCATGATCAGGAATATTCTAGCTTTTGCTTTTAAATTTTCTTCAGCTCGCGTGCTCAACGTCATGGACCATCGCATTTGGACGGATTTTGTTATGACATTGACGGGCCCATAGCCATGACATCGACGTGTAAAGCTCTATTTCGACGTGGACAGCTGGACTATAAAGGTTAAAAGCTAAACGAGAAAAAGCTTACTGCCAGATAAGCTGCTGACTAGTGCCAGCGTGGCAAAACTTGATGACATGTCATGAAAACAAAAATCGTGGTGCCACCTAAGCAACCGGCGGCACAGCCACTCTTCCAGCCACTTGATCCAAGTCTCTTCGTCCCTGGGAGGTGATTCTCCGCCCACTGCGAAGAACACACAGAAACTCAATCCCCCAAGTTTTCTTTCGATCGATCGAGAGAGATTTTCTCTTCGCTTACCCCTTGGGTTCCTTCTCAATGATGTCGATCTTCTCAAGCTGCTTTAGAACGTGCCTGGCGATGGCACCGCTGCTTTTGCAGAAATGCGAAGGCCGGGCACCATTCCTCTTGCTGCCGCCATAGATCTTCTTGAAAGCCCCGACGCCAATGCCGCCGCGGAGGTAAATCTTCCTCGCCATGGACGCTGTGATTCAACCCAAATCACGAATCAATCAATCACTCGATCAAAAGCATTCTCTCTGTAAATCTCACCAGCGCGCACGTAGAACCAGTCCGGATCGTAGGGAGCGAGCTCCTTGGCGACAGAGGTCTTGACAATGTCAGTCCAGGGCGGAAGCTCGACCTGAATTGGAGCAAGACAGTAATTTCCATCAATCGAGTCGCGAGCGCTGCCATACCTTGCCAGATCTCTTGAGATGCGCAGCGTAGGCACGGACGAACTCGTGCGAGGAGACATCCTTCACCGTCTTGGAAGTAGCCGCCATCGCGCTCTCAAGCCCTAAGCCCTAACCCTAAACCCCAAAAAGTAGATTCCTCTCGTATATACCAAGGCTTTATATATTGAGCTTGTTGAACGAATATTTGTAGGCACAGTCACAGAATATTCAAAAGAATATTCGATATTTAAGAACTTTTGAACGGGAAAACGTTTTGTTCTTGCGATTCAGTAGGAACAAAAAACTCTCTTTTCTTCGTTTCTTGCCAAATCACGAGGACAGCTTTCTCGGATAGCAATCATCAAAGAAGGAGCCCTTATCGACGAGCTGTGCGAGCGCGCTTCTCATCTTCTCCAGCGAGATTGGCTTGAAGATGACACCGTCCATGCCGATGCTGGAGCACCGCTCGCTCGTTTGCCGGTCGTGAGCCGCGGTGAGCGCTACCACCAGCGGCCTCTCGTGCCGCTTAAACATGTCCTGGATCTTCACAGCCACCTCGAATCCGTCCGACTCCGCCATATATACATCTACCAGAACTAATCTAAAGCTTCTACCTGGTTGCGCCAGCAGCTGGAGGCACTCGCGAGGAGATCCCACCGCAAAAGCATCGCACCCCAGTCGTAGCAAAAGACCCCTCGTCACCATCCTGTTTGCTCTGTAGCGACGAAAAGGAAAAAACGAGAGTTTTAGAGTTTCTTCTTCTTGCTTTCGATCGATCGAAAGAGCAAATCTCTTTCGACCGATCGGAAGAAAAGAAAGCGCAAACTTGACGTACCCGTTGGCATCCATCACCAGGACCCTGAGACCGGTGACGCTTGTTCTTGGAGACGAGGATGGTGGTACTTGTTGGAGAGCGTACGAGACCTGATCCACTGCGTCTGGGATCGCAAGCCTGACAACGTAGGAAACTGTACAGCCGCGATTTAATCCCTCGCTTTCGAACCATATGTTCCCGTCCATCAAGCTCACGAGGCTGAAGAACAACGATCCTCGTCTTAGATGAAGATCTAGCAATACAAAAGGAGGATGAATCTAGTACCGTTTGGAGATGGCAAGGCCGAGTCCTGTGCCAACTTGCTTTCTCGATGACACTGCCGGCGCTTGGATAAACTTGTTAAAGAGTTTGGGAATGTCTTGTGGATTGACTCCAATGCCTGTGTCTTGGACCTGGAAAACGGAGCAAGCAAAAGTTAGATTATGGAAGGAGAGAAAAAACAAAGCGAAAGCTACCTGTACTCTTATGTAGCAGTGTTTTTCACTCGGGACAACGTAATCGGAAGCCTGGAAGGACTCAGGTTTTTCCAAACGTACTGTGATGGAGACGCTCCCCTCCTTTGTGAACTTGACAGCATTGCCAACAATGTTTAAGGCGATTTGCACGAACCTCTTGTCGTCCCCGCAAACAAACTCCGGAAGCTCTGATCCCAGGCAGAGCGAGATTGCCAGCTTTCGCAGCGAAGCCACAGGCTTCACCAAGTTTAGTACCTGCAACAACTTCAAAGTCTTAGATCGAGACTTCCTTAAAAGGATCTTTGTACACACCTCTCGAAAAGTCGCAGGCAAGTTGAAGGTACGTTTCTCCAGCTCCAAGCTGCCGTCCTCGAGCCTTGAAACGTCCAGGACATCATTGATGAGCGTTGCCAGTAAGTTGCTGCTGTTGAGAATGGTGTCCACCATCGCTCGCTGCTCCTGGCTCAAGCTCGTATCTTGCAGATGCGACGACGCAGCAATGATCGTCGACATGGGAGTCCGCATTTCCCGATCCATGACTGCCAAAAAGTCGTTCCTCGATCGCAAAGCCATCTCGGCCTCCCGCTTGGACGCGTCCAGCTTCACATTCTGAGCGATGAGAGTGTCCCTCTGCCTGATCGATTCCTCGAGTATAGCCGCGTGAGAGAGAGCCACGGCCACCTAGAAGAACCATTGTGAGAAACAAAGCAAAAAATCGGTTTTTCTTCTCGTACCTGGCCAGCCACAGCTTCGACGAGCTCGAGCTCGTGTAAGTGCCAAGTCCGAGCACTGTCCGAGGGAAGCATGAGCACCAAAAGCGCGTAGGGAACGTCGCCACCTTCCGGCCAGTAGCTGATGTTAAAGTTTTCGACGTGTAGAAGCGGTACTCTGACGGCCACTACCTCTCCCGGGAGATACTTCCCAGCTCTCGGTCTGATAGCAGCCACCGGACTCGTCGCTGGGATGTTCCTCGCTCGGTGCGTGCAAAAGACCGGCTGGATCGAGGGGTGATGCACAGGAACCGTAACTCGTCCGGGATTTGTACTGCCGAGCGTCCGGCAGAGATGAAGTTCTAGGCCATCCCTTGATGGCATCCAAAGAGCGCATTCTTCCAAGGCTAGAGCTTTCCCGAGCTCCACCAGAGTGGTGTTTAAGATGGTGTCTCGGACGAGCGTGAAACGGATCTCGTGAGTGAGCATCCGGACGTGCTGGACTGCCTCGGCCTGTGTCCGGATCAGTCCCATCTCTCGGTCGAGCTCGTCGGCCTTGTTCTTGAGAAAGAGCTCCCTGGTCTTGACGCTGAGGAGATCCGGGATGATGGTCACGAGTGTCACTGCCGTGGCACACGAAACGATGGCCGTGAGGATCTTGGACATGATCATGATGAAAGCCACGGTTCGCGAGTGAGAGGTCATAGTGAGCATGTTGATAGCGTGAGTGGAGCCGCAGAGAACGATGAAGGCCCCGAACTGGACGAGCACCCACTTGTATGGAAAGACTGCCGATTTCTTGACGAAGTAGATGAGCTCGCAGGGAATGGAGAAGTAGGCCAAGGCGATGAAGAAGTCCGACACATACTGCGACTTTGTGTAGATGTCCTCCGGCAGCCACGGCCAGAGCGAGTCCATACAATTGCAATCCATATCCATGATCCAGGAGCTGAGGTGAGTGTTGTCGATGCTCAAGGCGTGATTTTTCCACCAGAAAAACGCGATTTTGCTCACACCATGGAGAAGATCCTGCACACCACCGAGAGGACCATCTCCGTGAGAAGAGTTTTCTCAAGGGGCTTCTAGCTGGAATGGCTTGTAGACTAGTAAGTGATCCTGAATCTAGCAAGTCTAGGCGCAAAACCGAAGCTTACCCGGATGTGTGGGATGCTATCGGGACAGCCTGAGCTTCCACCTGAGCTTGGGCCAATTCCAGCAGCTCTTGCCCGCCTTGGGAGTCCCGAGCATCAACTTCTCCATCGAATCCAGCGGCACCAGAGAGAACAGCTTCACTGCCGCTGGCCCCAAAACGCTTCCTTCCCCGGACAAGCGGAGGCTCTGAAACGCTCCCGGAGGAAAGAGTAAGAAACCCGCCCCCTCCCTTGTTCCTGCTCTCGTCGCGGGCCAGCAGCAGCAGCAGCAGCAATGGTAGCAGCAGCGCCAACAGATTGAGCAAACTTCCCTTGAGATCCGAGCAGAAAAATGGCTCTTTTCTGAGCCGCAGTGCGTTGTAGGCGTCGTAGCAGTGCTGCTGTGTGAGCAGTCGAATGCTGGAGAAGATGACCACTGTGTGGATGCATATAGTCATGGAATGAATACTACTAGTTGCCTTCTCCTGTTCATCCCCCCTGGATCAGCGTCAAAGCAAAACCCTGCTGCTTATTGTTTTTGCGAGAGTGCGTGTAAACGCTTTTTCCAACCATTTTTTTCCGGCCCTGTAGGTAGATTAAATAAACACAAGCCATCAGCAAAGCGATCAGGCAAATGACTGTAGGTAGAAAAACGATCATCGTAAATCTTAACTCAAGGAGAAAAACTTATCCTACCTCCTGCCACTTGCAAGTTTGCTTTCGCTTCCATTCCGCGTCGCCGGTTCGTAGCAAATTGCAACTCCAACTCTCGAGATGCCTGTGAAATCAACATTCCAAGTTGCGTAAAACAATGCTAAACCTGACAAAACAGGAATCCTAGATCGACAGTAAGAACCATAGCAAGAACAGAAACAAAGAAAAAAAAAAGGATGACAAGAACAACTTACTTAATTCACTCACGCAAGCAACCAAGCAATCAGTCGATCGAGAGTGCGAAAAAGAGAGGAACAGACCAAGGGATCAAATTGCTACGGTCTTGGTTGCAACGAGGAGGTGCCGCAATCACTCGAAGGCGCGTGTCCCCAAGCATGCCTTTTCTATTCTTTTCTCTTTTCCTCTCGCGTTGCTCTACACAAGCAACTTTGTCCGTTGGCCTATTGTCAACCAGTTTGTCAGCCACCTTGTATGCAAGATATATTCCACGATGAGAAGCACAGACATAAAAAAAGAGCAATAAAAAGCTTACCCCGCACCGGTTTCCTGACGAGATTCAAGGCACTGTGATTCATTTCGGTGAACTAGAAAACGATTTAGATGAAATCAATGACGACGGACCAGCTAGCAGGACCGATTCGATTACTAAACAATGGAAACAATGAATCCAGAGGAGCTTAAGTTACGAGTTTTCTGGGTATCGGGATTATCTCTCACATGGCAAGCAGGTTGGTACAACGAAAACAGTGCCTGCAACGAGAACGAAACAAAAGGGAAAAAAAATGTTAACTTTGATCCATCAGTCTCGAAGAAGGCCAAGAGAGAGAGAGGGAGAGAGAGAGAAATTGATCTAAGCGTGGCTTACCAGTACGTGGTACGAAGTGCGAATCGAGATGATCTCATTCCACTTCCTGTAGCTTTTGGCATGGTATAAAGAATTGGGAATCTTTGCGCTTTGGAAATGGCCAAAACAAAGATCTGATTTGTGCAAGGCATTCAAATCGACCGTGTGAGTGATGGATGGATCAAGAAACGATTAAAGAATGCAGCACACAAACCTTGTTCCTTGATGCGCAGCATAAAAAACTGGAAACCAGCGCATCCCCTTTGGCCGCGTATCGCAATTCCTGTTCAGTCATTGCGACTGCCAAAAGCCCTATCCTAAGAACCCTAAAATTTAAATTTCTGGGGTCCTCATTTTATGTCTTGGATTGGCGGGGAGGTTACTCTCCTGCTGGAAATCACTGTGTGATCCTCTCGATCCTGCGGCGCCAGTTTTTTCTTCCTTTTTTTTCCAGCGAGTTCGTGGAAGCCATCGAAAAATCTTCCAAGGATTACTGTTTGAGAATGCTCGCCTTTTGGTTTATTGCAGCGATCCTATTCGCTAACGCTGCGATCAAACTTCTATCCAGATGATGAAAAGCGTCCTTGATGCTCGCACTTTGGGCGAGAGTTTTTGTGGATCGCAAGCATGAGGTCAGTGAAAGGGTTTCTTTCTTCCTTGTTCTAATCTTGTCTTTCTTTTTTTTCGTTTTGGTCACGCTCGAGAATGAATGATCCAACAGGGGGAATTTTCTAGAGAGGATCTTTCAGTAGAACAGCGCTGCAAGCATGACGAAGTCGAGCTGGTCCAGCGGAAAAGGAGCGTACACTGTTTTGGTAAATTTTCTCACTGTTAGATCTTGTGCTACTGCTGATCAAACGTCGCAAAGTTTCCACAGAAAATCTGTCAAATCTGGACGACGTAGAGAGGCGGTATGAGAAGAAAAATGGGAGCGTATCACGAGACGCTACATGTATGGTGATTTACTCTCGCGTCTGCTGCTCTGACTCGTCTTTGTTTTTTTTTTTTTTTCTTTCTTGTCCTTGCTTTGCTCATGTTCTATTCCTATGCAGGACAGGACAATCTATGTTCTTGCCTTTCAACTGTCGAATGCTCTGCTTGTGATCTTTGTTTTCTTGTGATGTTGGGTTTCCATTTCTGACTTTTGAAAGCACACCAGGCTGGGATGAACGATGCCAGGAGAGAAGTTGTGGAAGTTTCGACAAAGAAATCATGGCTCGCAAAGGTACGTGGATCGAAGTTTTGCAGTAGGACAATTGGAGTTTTGGAAGGTTGATCAAAAAAGATATGCTACTTTGAGAGGATCGAGTTTATGTGTCACCCGCATTTGCATCATAATAGTCTATTCGTTCCTTTTTTGTCAGCGAAAGGACTATCCATCCAAATAAGCGGCTGGCCATGCGAGATCGACGCTATTCCTTACAGGACAAGAGGTTACGGTTGATCAAGTCATGGAAGAAACAGTAACTCTAGCAAGGCGTTGGCGGGCAAGGGGATGTTGTCATGCTACTGGCAAACTATCCGCTCGCAGTGACGGTCATTGCCAGGATTGGAGCTGTAGCTGCAACTCCCAGTGATCTGCTAAAGACGTCGAGTTTCCAAGCCAGGCTTCCAAACGCGAATATGACTAGCCTCCTGGAAACTATAGTTGGGGACGAGGATGGATCGTTTTTTCTAACAGAAAATCCCGGAAAGCCAGTGAAAGTACGAGCTGTCCAAGCTGCACAGAGAATCCAGCAGCTATCCTATACTGAGAATTATATGGCAGTGCTCTTCCCGGCCATACAACGTTGCTCTCTGCATCTTCTCCGGGCTGGTAGCAGTGACTTTGAAGCAGCTCTACCTTGGGAACCGGCTCGGTTGTGAGCTGCGTACAATGCTAGCGGCGGGCGAAAGCTCCACCGAATCTCGCACTTTGCAAAGTTCTTGCGAAAGGTAGCCCACATTTTCTAAAACCTCCGGTGTTCTAACGCTCTCTCTTTTATCTTCTCAAAACCACTACGTACGAAGCTACATCGTTTTGAGTTACTTCCGTTCAAATGCTTCTTTCTTTCAGGTGTGGCTTTCTTCTGCCGGACTGAGTAAAATGTTTTTTTGTCAGCTGAGCTCTCACCTTGACCGCAAGTGGTAACACAGCTTCAGTTGGAACTCTGTTCTCCATTGTGGAAGCCAAAGTTCCCGACGTGCCTTGGAGGACGGCACACTGTTGGGAGGAGTACTCTTCAACAACAATGCACAAGGAACCTTTTATTTTCTAAAGTACGGTGTTTATCCAGGCCACGCCTTTACAGGCCAATCGGGGTGATCTTGTTTTACTTTGACGGAAACTTGTTTGTGGTGAACAGGCTCAAAGAGCTCATCTCCCTTCAGGCCTCCAAGATACTTTTTCGTAGGACGACGATTCCAAAGACGCCGCCAGGGATTTTTTTGCATCATCCATCCGACCGGATTTTTGCACGCACCAAGCGAGGAACATCCCAGCGAATGAGAGCTGGCCAAGTATCTCTCCGAGGCCGGAAGTTGACGACGTCTCTTTGGACAGTTCTCGGGCTTGGCACTTACACGAGCTCGAGGCATTGGAAGAAGAAGATTTCTTGTTTCATCCAATGGTTTTTCTTCTCGCATCATAAGGTGGCTGGCTCTCTTGCACGCGCCTATACTCGAGGAATCGGAGGAACTAGTTCATGATCGGAGATGCGACTATCATTGTTGCATCAGTTGCCAAGATCCGTACGCAACAAGCGGTATTCTCAACAGCAGCAATTTACTGGGAACGCTCATCAATGATGCATCCTTCAACTCGCCTGCAACGCAAGGGGTGGTGGAGGAATCTCGGACTTGATGCCCGAGCTTGTATCGAGGAATCGTTGGCAGGCTTCCATTCTCGGGTGTCCTCAGCTCCAGATGCGTGTGCCGGGCGTGGAAAACGAGCCCAGCTTCCGGACCTCCTACATGGACAGCACTAGGTTCTTCCCTCATAAGGATTGTATCCAGGACGGCAAGGTGATGCACTGGGATCCTTGCAGTGACACAGTGTGCCGTCTCCCAAGACTTGCTCCACAAAGTTCAGAAATCTCTACGTCGGGAATCCCATTGCCAACAGGTGGGAAGAGATCCCCTGGGGATATGTCGAGGGTGTTCCTCTTGGCCATTGCAGAGCAGGAGTTCAGGGTTGTGGTAGATCGTCCACACGTTCACTCGCGAGAGGCAGAATGGTGTCAAACCATGGTGTCTCTTCTCTGTCAACCGCACCCAGTGCTCATACAAAACAAACTGGTATGGACTCAGCGTTTAGCAGGTTTGTTCAGTTTGATGTGGCAACCAACACGATCACGTACAAGAATCTCGGGATCACGCTATACAATAAGCTTGGGCTGTCGTGTACGGTAAGTCTGGCTAGCTGGAGGGGAAAGCTCTACATAGTGTGGCTAAGGCAGGTGTTTGGTCAGAATGAAAGAGGTTTGTGCTGAGTCGAGTGATGAGTGTAGAGTATTTGAAAGGATTACATCCCAAGTTTGGTGGTCAAGCTGATAACTACTTGAATTTTTATTATTATTATGGATGTAATACTCCTGATAAGCAGTTTGCGGACGTTCTGGAAAGTTGGGATGAGTTGGATGTTGTTGTGCTTCTGGCCAGTGCCTTCTCATTCCTCAAAGGACTGCAAAAGATGGATCCAATCCCAGATGGAAGATGAGGAGATTGTCCCAGAAATAATAGAATACAGGCACACCAAGTCCGTGTCAATGGACCTTCTCATCACAACAAAGATTATGTAATTTACTATTTGGATCGTGCAAAGGTGTAAGGTGTATAAAGAGCTTCTAGGAGCTGCTAAAAGAAAGTGACAAGGTCCTGCTACTTTGCGTGGACGAGGCTGCTGAACTAAGTTCTCTAACTTTTGCGCATGCTCAAGTATGTGTCTACAGCAATGTGCTTTTTCAGCATTGTTATTGGGACAGACAAAAGAGTGGCAGAATTTATGGCCAAAGCTCGCGAGCAAGGCTGTTAAGCAGCATGAACAAGCTGTGGGAAGAGCGACGTGCATGCAGGCAGTGAAACGAGCCCGAAACGAGTGCTGCAACACGGACGGCCTCTCTGGGATGCCTATATGACTCGTGTTGAGACGGAGAACAAGGTCATGGCCACGGCTAATCTAAGAAGCTCATTGAAAAGGATGTCACTTTTCCAAGGTGGGTTGCTGTAGAAGTTGCGGTTGCCGTATTTGCATGCCTCATTGGGGGCGCTGCCACAGCAACTAACTGCTGGCATGTGAGGACCATTATCAAGATTTCTAAGAACAGAAGACGGGTGTACACTGCTAGTGCTGTAAAGCCTGCTCTTGCTGTTGCAGGTGCTGATTTGCTTCACTACAACGAGGATATATCCAAGCTGATAGAGGTTTGTGTGGATGGGCTGGTGCTGGAAGGTGTTCGTGGAGAGATGGCAGACTTGTCATGCTCTTGGAGTGCACAAAGTCACAGCAGTACATCAAACCTGTCAGTATCTGGAAACTTTGTTTGGTAAAGTGGCCATGGAGGAGCTGATGCAGTGCTGCGGTGATTTTTTAGGCAGCATTGTCTTCTTTAATTGTTTCATTCCCCCTTTAAACAAACTATATAGTAAGTATTACAAAAGGTAGGAGAAACGAGAGCATTCTGGACCTGATCATTCCAATTAAAACCTCTGAACAGTCTGGTCTTTGAGTTTGAGCAGGAGCCCAATAAAATCCGTCGGACTGGGTATAACTCAACCATTTTCTGGTTTTTTTTTTCCTTTTTTTCCCTTTTTTAAATTTGCAGTAAGTGGCCATTCCACCAAGGAAAGTAAGTTGGACGAGGAAAGACTGGATCAACAACTTAGCATGCCTTTTCAAGCTGGAGCAACTGAGTGGTACAACTTTACCAAAGATCAGAAGGTGACGGATTTGCTATATTCAAAGATGCAATCTTTGACCTTAACCAATAAATAAATTCTTTCATAAGGTTCTTTGCTAGGGTACAATGTCGGGCTTGATGCCAGAGCTTGTGGGATATATCCTTCGCAGGCTTCCAATTTCGAGTGTCCTCGCCTCCAGATGCGTGTGCCGCGCGTGGAAAGCAGCGGTGGATGACCCCAGCTTCCAGAGCTCCTACACAGACAGCGCTAGGTTATTCCCCGAGAATAATTATATTCAGGACAGCGGTGGCAAGATGATGTGCTGGGAGCCTCGCAGTGACAACGCTCCCGACTGGCTGTGTGCCGCCTCCCAAGACAACAAGCACCTTGTGCTGGCTCGCTCCACAAAAGTTAGAAAACTCTACGTTGGGAATCCCTTCTTCAACAGGTGGGAAGAGGTCCCCTACTTGGAAATTTGGGACGTGTCCAGGGTGTTCCTCTTGGTCACTGCCGGGCAGCAGTTCAAGATTGTGGTGTGGTTCTGGGATGGCACCATCCACACCTTCAGTCGTGGCCAGACGCAATGGTGTCAACACATGGTGGCTATGTCCCCGCTGAGCCCGGTGCTCATACAAAACAAATTGGCTTGTATAGATGCCCTCTATCGCGAGTTTGTTCAGTTTGATGTGGCAAGCAACACGATCACAATCAAGGATCTCAATCCCTTTCCCGCGGAGGTTCAGTCCATCTGCCTTGCTAGCTGGAGGGGAAAGCTTTACATGGTATGGCTGTTTGCCAAAGGCCCACGTTTCAACACTTCTATGTTTACAATCCAGGAGGTTTGTGCTGAGAGTGGCGATCCCATTGCTGTGGTGAGCACCCATGTGGTACAAGAATTGCATCACTTCACCTTTGATGGCCAAGCTGATAACTATTTGAATGTTTGTGGATATAATAAGTATAAGGTTGTTAAATTGTACCCATTTTCATATGATTTCGCTACAGATAGTTGGGCTGATAAAATCTATAGTCCTCCCTCAGCACCTCTAGATGTGAGGCTTTGTAAATGATCATACAAAAATATATTAACTTCCAAAATCTATAAATGTATATTAATACACTTTGAAAATTAAACGATCATTTATATGATCATTTAATACTTATAATATAATAAAGTTATAGGAAAAATAAATAAATTTATATGTAACAGTTTTATATGATATGAAATATATTAAAGTTGCCTAAACTATAATACAGAGACTAATTTCCAAGTTGCGAGATCATGGCCGCACCCTTGAAGATTCAGGGTGACAAGAAGCCTGGGGATACATTCCAGGTCTCTAAAGAACGTGTGGTTTTCCTTAATAGCTTCTTGGCTATGGAGCTATGTATTTCAAGATGTTCTCACCGTTGTTCTACGGCAGATGGGTATCGAGGGAGATACAGGGATTGCGTCTTCGGACGTCGGCAACGATCTGCCGGCACTTGTGCTTGCAAGACGTACGGTGAGGCGATTCTTTTGTTTCAGCTCTCAGACCCAACAAAGGCTGCAGCGATGGCTTATCTCGGGCAAGACATGGATGCGGCCAGGAGTGCTTGGAAGATTGATTACACTGGATATGGCGTTGTGGGGAAGTGCGTGAGGAGATATGCGGCTTGTTGGCATCCAGAAGAGAAGTGCGTTCCTTTGGCACCTTCGATTCAGAGCAGTGGCAAATCGCGACTCGTGTACGAGCTCTGGCGCGCAGGCATGCATGCATGTCCTGTACATTTCCTGCCTCAAGGAGAAGAGCACGGGCTTTCCTCGTCGCACCAAGCATCTTCCGGACATTCTGGAAAGTTGGGATGAGTCGGATGTTATTGTGCTTGTGGCCAGCGCCATCTCAGTGCTCAATAGATCCTCAAAGGACTGCCAAGCATGGATCCAGTCCCAGATGGACGATGAGGAATTGTCTCGGAAATAATGACAGAATACAGGCACACCAAACCTCTTGTCCACGTACCTTCCTGTGACAACAAAGACGATGCAACTTACCATCTGGATTGCACTAAGGCATATGGGAACCTTCTAAAACCGAAGCTAAAGCTGCTAGAAAAAAGTGGCAAGTTCCTGCTGCTCTGCGTGGACGATGCTGCTGAACTAAGTTCTTTGATCTTTGCACGATTCAGGAGGATGCTCAAGTATGTGCCGGCAGGAAAGTGCTTTTTCAGCATTGTTATTGGGACAGACAATGCTGGCAAACTTTAGGACTTCCAATATTATAGCCACATCGTACAAGGACGATCCAAGCTTTGCGAGCAAGGCTGTTAAACAGCGTGAATAAGCTGTAGGACCCAATTTGGTTGATAGGGAAGAGCGACGTGCTGGTTGGCCATGCAGGCAGTGAGATGAGTCCGGAACATGTGTTGCAATATGGACGGCCTCTCTGGGCCGCATACATGAGTTGCGTTGAGACAGGGAACAAGGTCGAGGCCACTATTCAGCTGGCCATAAAGAAGCTCCTTGGAAAGAATGTCAACTTGAATGCTCCAGGACTATCGTTAAGATTTCCAAGGACAGCACTGCTAGTGCTGCGGAGCCCGCTCTTGCTGTTGCAGCTGCGGAGTTGCTTCACTGCAACGGCGATGCTTACCTGTGCGAGTTTATATCGAAGCTGATTGAGGTTTGCGTGGACGGGCTGGTGCTGGAAGGTGTTTGTGGAGAGATGGCGATCAGACTTGTCATGCTCTTGGCCATGCACGAGTGCACGAAATCACAGAAGTACATCAAACCTGTCCGCCTGCAAGAGTACTTGGAAACACTGTTTGGGAAAGTAGCCATGGAGGAGCTGAAGCAATGCTGCGGTGACTTTTCAAGCAACATGGTCTTCTTCAACTGTTTCATTGCCACCATGTCAATGCCTTCAGTTAAACAATATAGGGACTATTACAAGAGGGCCTCTGCCATAATCTGTAGGAAAAACGAGAGCATTCTGGGCCTGATCATTCCAGCTAACCAGGAACCCTGTCAGGCCTTTAAGTTTGAATGAGATTCGTCAGACTGGGTATATCTGATCAACGCTCTTTCAAGCTGGAGCAAATGAGAGCGAAATAATTGTGGAGGATGGTTGTGTGGTTGCCAAAGGACTGGATTACAGTTTCACCAAAGATCCGAAGGTGCAGGCACAAACGATTAGGAGAAGAGGTTTTAGAGGGTTTAATTCCTTTGGTAAACTATGATTCATTTATTGGTTCCACACTGATAACATCGCCAGCTTCTTGTCATTTCCTCAAACTTCTTAAAGAAGGAAAGAAAAAAAGAGAAATTTGGGCAAAGAAAGCAAGCAAGAAGATGCATAGCCACTGGATCAGTGTCACCAACATCATCATCCGGTTCCTGGGGATCATCTTCTCCCTGGTCGCATTCTCTTTGATGGCTTCCGCAAACAATGGAGCTCACGACGATTCCAGGATCTCTTACGCTTCCTTCAGTGCTCTCAAGTAAGAGTTTCTTCTTTCGTCAGTCCATCCTTTTCAATTCCCTCGTTCCTAGATATGTGATAGCCGTCAATGTTGTGGCTTGCCTCTACTCCATCATCCAAGTCATTCTTTTCATCGTACACTTTGTCTCCAAAGGATGGATCCACGTCCCCACTCCCGAGCTATACTACTTCACATACTTTTTCGACCAGGCAAGATCTCGCAACCTCTATTTCTTTTTCTCGTGTCGACCGTGTCCCGAGAAGCAATTAAATCACTCACGAACGAATCAAATCTCCTCGTCTCTATCTTACAGGTGTTGGCGTACCTCTTGTTCTCGTGTTCTTCTAGCGGAGCCACGGCAATCGACATGATCGCCGATTTCAAGCCAGCCGAGCTCTCGGGTTTCTACTCCAATGCCGCTGCTTCAGTTGCTACGAGCTTCATGGCTTTTGCCGTGCTCGGCGTGTCTAGCTTGATGACGGGCTACCACCTCGTCAAAAGCGGCTAGACGCGATTGTGGTCAACAAGCTTTTGAGCTCTTTTTTGTTCACCTGGAAGTACAAAGTATACGTTAGCCAAGAGCTCAGTAGAAATTCTTTGTTTTAAGTTGCTTGACCTTGCCCATTGCATTGCGGGGAAGTGATTCCCATACGTGTAGCCTCTGAGGGATCTGAAAGGAAGAATAATTTAAAGAAAACAAGCAAACTCTCTTGGGATATTACCTTGTATGGGGCCATTCTTTTCAATGCCCAGTCTCGGAGTTGAGGCAGCGTCATCTTCACATCGCTTTGGTTCTCCGTGTCTAGAATCACGACCGCGGCTATCACCTCGCCGTAATCCTTGTCTGGAATCCCCAGCACAGCACACTCCGATATATCTGGGTGCTGTTACGTAACACATATATAATAAAACGGTAACAACACACAACACAAATACCTCTAGTAGCATAGATTCGATTTCCAATGCTGAGAGCTTGTATCCTCCTGACTTGAGTATATCCACGCTTGTTCCTTCATTCACAATGTAAAAAACGAGAAGAAATAAGTTAATAACAGCTAAGCTTACTCCCAAGGATTCGAATGTAGCCATCACTCTCTTGCTTGACAAAATCTCCTGTTTTGAAAAATCCATCCTCATCAAATGCTTCCTGTGTGACCTGGGCGAAAAGGCCATTGTTGTTTGCTACATACATATAGGAGCATACCGTAGGTTGATTCCAATATCCACTGAACATGGATGGACTCTTAACACACAGCTCCCCAGTGCCAGGCTCGGACTCAGCACTTTCTGGCTCAATCTTCACCTGATAAAATCCGTAAGAAGCTGCAAGGAACTGAGTATGTACTAACCACTACACCTGGCAAGGGCACTCCAACACTACCAGGCCTGCGTTCTCCATCAAGAGGATTTGACAGTCCCATTCCAAACTGCATCACTCAAATTTGATTATCGAAGGACAAATTCCATAGCCATTGCGTACCTCAGTCATTCCGTAACGTTCCAAAAGCCGATGGCCTGTTACTTTCTCCCAATGTATAAAGACTGGCAGCGGAAGAGCGGAAGATCCACACATCTAGCCATATCATCATGAAAGAACGATCGATACAGAAATAAAAATAGCTATTGTGTTACCATAAGACGCAAACGACGCGCTGCGGAAGCAGCGGCCTCTCGTGACGCAGCGTTCATTGATTCGTAACCTTGCAACAATCTTACGTACATGGTTGGAACCTGAAAAGAAAGAAAAATCAGAATACAGAACCTTTTATGACACGTTTCTTACTCCCGTGAAACAAGTGATAGGATTTTCAGCTTGTGAGTTTTTACTCGGATAAGATTCACGCCAGCACTGCCATACTCCAGTCACACTGAACTTTGGAATGAAATGGACCTGGGCGCAAAAAGAAATTACTACCTTACAAGTAAAAGCCAACGTTACCGAAGAGCCAGCATAAAGAGGTGCAAGCAGTGCGTTGAAAAGGCCATGAACATGTAGCTACACTGTCAAGGTAAACATTCCAGCAAAAAACAAATGGAAGGAATGTAAGGATATGGTGCAAAGGTAAACAGTGAAGGAACCGATCAGACGGCTTATATTGCCATGCACTAGAGAGCATAGCAACCTGTTTGCATGAAAATGCGTTAAAGCTTTGTCACATGAACGTGGAGATAAGTTATACCTGCGCAGCCAATGCACCTTGCGAATGAACAGCTCCCTTCGGCCTACCAGTAGTGCCACTAGTGTAAATTATCAGTCCTAGCTCCTCATCTGCAAGAAAATTGAGACTGTGCCAAGAGCAAAACCAAGAATGTAATACCTTTGACATGCGACAAGGACAAAACTTCGTCCAAGATTTGATCGTATCCTTCACTTCCGTCGGCACCTTCTTCGAGTGAAGGGATTGAAGGCAGGATAAAAAGACGAGCAGCAGCTTTCTGAGAAACACCTTCAACCAGGCTTTTGTGATCATCTGTAGAGATGACCAGTGTTATATTCTGGAATGGAAAAGCGTAAAGACACAGATTTTCAAACACTTGCAGAGCTTACCGCATCAGTGAAAACATGGTGGAGTTCGCTCTCTGGGTGACTCAATGCCAAAGGCACAGCGACCCCACCGCTCAACCACGTTCCCCAAATCCCCACTACAAATTCGGCAGAGGGAGCTGCCACGATTCCAACGCGAGCACCTTGTAAAGCCTTATTCTATACAGAAAACCATTTACAACTCCACCATCAGAATCAAAAGACATCATACCTTGTGCTCTAGGCCATCACGGTCGTCTCGCAGCTTTGTCGAGAGCTCCCATGCAGACCGCAGGAGCTGGGCATAGCTGTGAGTCCTGTTTCCGGAGGTTACAGCTGCAATTTTGTGTGCTCCAGATCCAAGCTTTACGGCTGCTCTTATTACTTCCATCGCCTGTCTGATCGGTAAAACGATGATTCCAAGTCAGTGAAAAGCAACAAGAAACAAAGGACACGCATACCCTCGAATCTAGAGTGAAGAAGATGCAAATGGGTAGCGCCTATCAATTGAATTCCTGTGAACACCTGGAATGCATGGCGGCTGTCGACTAATGCGAATCGAACACGAAGTCAAAGACAATCCAAAGCAAAATACATTTCAAAAGGAAAGCCAACACCAAGCTGGATGGAAATATCTGGACCGAAAACAAGCACAACCCAACCTCAACCTAGATTCTGTTCTCTTGTCTCTCTCAGTTCACTGCAAAACATTGAGAAACTTAGAGCGAAAAAGCTACAAACAAAACGAAAAGAAAGCTTACCACTGAGAAGTATCAAGCGACATCAATGGAGGAACTCATCTCCCTCAGAGAGTTGCCTTGCTTGTTCTCCGGAAGCCTCACCACCACAACCGCGCAATCGCAGTGATGGACACAGTAGTCACTGACGCTCCCGAGCCTGGCCCTGCGGGTCCGCCTCTCAGCACCAATCCCTCGGCTTCCCATGATCATCACGTCCACGCCGAGTCTCTCCACTTCCAGGCAGATCCTCTCCTTCATGTCGTGGTCCTTGACGATGTGAATCCTGAAAGGAATGTTGGCCTCCTCGAGTGGCTTGGCGAGCTCGGTGCTCTTGGCCGAAGTGAAGGCCTCCATGTCCTCCTCCATTTTTTGCTGGACTGACGCATCGGGTCCAGCGGTAGTGTCTGCCGGTCCCCAGTCGGCTCCATAGAGAACGCTCGTTGGCTGGACGTGAAGAACGATGACACTGTCACCTTGTCGAAGGTAGTGAGCGACGGCCCATTTCACTGCGTACGCACTCTCGGCGCTCAAGTCCACGGCTATGGCGATTTTTCGCTCTCCTGGTGTTGTTAGCATCCTATCACAGGAAGAAATCAATCAGCTATTCTTTTCTCCTCTTGTGGAGCATTCACAGATGAAGGTATCACACACAAAACATTTTTTTCTTCAAGCGCCAAGCAAGAAACTCCATGGATCAATCGAAGGGGCTAAGAACAAAGTTTTAGTACATATTTGATGCAAGAGCTCACACCATGCAAGGCTCCCGAGCTCCAAAGAAAGAAAAATCAAGAAATCCTTGGAGCCAAGGGTGAAATACGGGCATTTCAGCTCAGGGAAGAGATCGATGGACGAAATATCGTCCGGGAGCTGGAAACTGCCCTGACTTTTGCCCCGGATGGAAACAATCGATAAAAAATGCAATCGCCAAGAAATACCGGGCGAGAGAGAAGTAGCATACCTGATCGAGGATCGCACTGCGCTGCTCGAAAACCTAGCTTGAGCGCAAGAGCTCAATAACGGTCAGTCGAAGAACCCTAAAAAGACACTGAAATTAGACAATGCGCTTCCATTTTATTTACTTAGCCGCAAAAAGAATTTATCGGAGGATACAAATTTACTCTTTACTAATTCTCGTAGTAGATTGTAGATGGTGGTGGTGGAGATTGGTACCAGTAGATTGGTGGCGATGGCGGGGGTGGGGATTTGTGGTGGTGGTGGGGTGGTGGCGGCGGTGGGGATTTCGGTGGTGGTGGTGATTTGTATTCGTATGGTGGTGGTGGTGGTGGAGACTCGTATTTATACGGTGGCGACGGAGGTAGAGACTGTGGTGGTGGTGGAGATTTGTACTCGTATGGAGGTGGCGAGTCCTCACATTTTGGTGGTGGTGGAGATTTGTACTCGTACGGCGGTGGCGATTTCTCGCATTTTGGTGGTGGAGGCGGTGGAGATTTGTACTCGTACGGAGGAGGTGGTGGCGGTGGGGATTTCTCATATTTTGGCGGTGGAGGTGGCGGAGACTTCTCGCATTTTGGTGGTGGTGGTGGTGGAGACTTGGGTGGCGGAGGAGGTGGAAACTTCTCGCATTTCGGTGGTGGTGGTGGCGGAGACTTTGGTGGCGGAGGAGGTGGAGACTTCTCGCATCTCGGTGGTGGTGGTGGTGGAGACGTGGGCGGTGGCGGAGGTGGAGATTTCTCGCATTTCGGTGGTGGTGGTGGTGGAGATTTGGGTGGCGGAGGAGGTGGGGATTTCTCGCATTTTGGTGGTGGTGGTGGTGGAGATTTGGGTGGTGGCGGAGGTGGAGATTTCTCACACTTTGGTGGAGGTGGTGGCGATTCAACAGGCGGTGGTGGAGATTTGTGATGGTGAGGAGGTGGTGGGGATTCAACTGGCGGAGGTGATTCTACCGGTGGTGGCGGGGATTTGTAGCAGTACGGAGGTGCATTAGGAGGGCACAAACGATTTGGAAACCACCAGGGCCTTCTCAGCCACGGCCTCCAACAGAAGAAATCGATCGTGCTCTTAGGAATTCCAAACCCGAAGTTCTTGGCATCTCCAAAACCTGCATTTCGATCCAAAAGCTCCTGATCACACCTGACAGTAGAAACCAGGAGAAGCAGCAAAAGCATGCTGCATGCCTTGAAGAAAATCATTGCGCTCTCCAAGATCACTGGAAAGAGAGACCTTTTCTGTGATGCTACAAAAATTTCCAGCTTATAAAGCCTAGCACTGTGTCTTGGAACCCACAGCTTTCAAAATAGTAATCCTTTAGAAATCGATGGCTCTGTGCTATTTAGCGCCTGGTTATCACATTTTCGTGTAAATTTTCTCATCTCACAAATTATTTCTAATATTTACTAGGAAAGTTATTTATTCACTAATAACAAATAACTTTAATCTTTTTTACTTTTATGCTTTGCTGCCTTGCAAAAGAAAAGATCGTCGCCTAGAAGAGTTCCATCGTTGAAAAGCAAGCATAAATACCCATGTAGCGCGCGAGACCTTCTCTTTGATCATCATGAGAAAGGCGGCACTTAGAATTGTCTTAAGAACCTGTGCTTGGATTCCCTTGTAAAATCCGAGAATTCCTTCTTGTTTCTGGATGAGAGTAAACGCGTCCACCATTCTCTTTGGCCTCGAGTACTCTTCGTCGTCTTTCTTGTCACCCGACTGGATCATAACTTTGCACCTAAAGCCGGAAGAAATCCTGAATTGAGAACTCTTCTTTACGGAGTAACCTGAGGACTTTACCTGATTGCTGGATACGTGATGAGAGTTGCCACCGTCTTAGAGATCGCTCCCAGAAGAAACGCGTGGAATGCTGATAGAACCAGCGGCGATGATCCAGCTTTTCTCACTCTTTGCTGTAGCAATCGCGTTTTGAGTTGCTCAAAGACTGTGTACTGGCAAAACCAGAGCATTATCAAGTCGAAGCTAGGAAAACCAAGGAAGAAGAAAAATGCAAACCTGGATTGCCGGATTACATGTAAGAAAAAGAGAAGCTCCCAATCCATCGAACGATTCCTTCCAGTTCGCGGACAAAGTAGCCCAGAGTCCCTTGGATTTTCCAAAGCCGCTGGTTTGCATTCGTGAAGAAGCAGTGTCAAGAGGCTAAAACGAGAAACGAAAGATAGTTATCTTCGATCGTCAATCTCGAGCTAGGAAAACTTACTTGAGTGACGATCGAATTGCAAGCGCCGGCAGCAGCAGCGACGACGAGATTTGCTCCCAATCCCATGCTCTTGTTCTTGCTCCGCTGGAGATATAGCCGCTTCAAGTAGCTATAGCTGTAAAAATAGATGAACTGCGAGAGGAGCGATTGCAAGTTCTTGGCGCCCAGGCCCTGATACAGCGCCAGCACCCGGTTGGATGCAATGGCTTCGCGAAGAACATCCAGGAGCGACCTACAATCGCCCCCAAAATCTGAAATGGATAGTTTGTGCGATCGCTTCTTACCGATATTTGTATGAATTCCCCGCCTTGAGCTCCGCTTGATACTTGGATTTGCACGTATCGAGGGGATAGAGGATCGTCGTGGTGAAGAGGCCGCCGATCGCGCCCGCGGTGGCATCGGCAAGGGCCTCCATTTTGCTCTAGAACCCTAAAACTTTCAAATAATAGAAGTTCCTTTAGCCCATAAGAATACGAAATGTACGAAACGGCTATGGAGGCTAGGGTTTTGAGAGGCGGCGCATGGCACAGGTGGAGGAGAAGACGAAGGCGAGCGCGGCGTGGGAGGAGCTAAGGTCGAGAGATTCTTCTCTAAAGGCGAGGGCCGAGGCTGTCCTCCAGCGCGCGTATGGGCGGAAGGATTCGCCAGCAGTGAAGCCCACGAAATCGTCTTCGTCTCCACCAGTAGGGCTTGTTCTTGCAAGATTTCGTCTAATCCTCGCAGTGTGATCTAGGGATGGATGATCAGCCTTGGAATGGTGCCCAAAAAGAAGGATGCGGCCGAAATTTCTTCCACCGATCCGCCTGAAATCGACAATGTTTCAGATGCCGATCGAGAGGATACTCGCAGGATAGCGGCTGCTGCTCTCGCGGCTACTAGATCTGGAGCGCCAGCGCCAAAGGTATTTTCTCGATTCTCTTTCTTTCTATAGAGCCAACAGGTATCTAGATTCAATACATTCTCGTATTGTCTCTTCGTGGTTTGGCTGAGATTATCCCGGGTTTTGCGACATGGAGTGGAGCATTACCTCCACGTCCATTACTGATTTGCCTGGAAAATGTCCCTTTTTTCCTTGTTTTGCTACTAGCCAACGGTATCTTGATTCAATACAGCTTCTATGCATTGTTTCATCGAAGTTTGGCTGATAGTTTTCTCAGGTTTTGCGACATGGAGTGGAGCATTACCTCCTCTTCCATTACTGATTTTGCCTGGAAAATTGTCCTTTGTTCAGAGACTCCATTTCGGAAGATCTTTCTTAGCGCTAGTTGTGTGTTCGTGGCTTTTCAAGTACTTGGTTCGTCGATTTTGATCACCTCTCTCGCAGGTTGTTGCTGCTGCTGCTGCTACTGCTGTGCCTCCCCAGAGCGATGCAAAGTCTAGCGACGCTGGAGAGAAGCGTAAACTATCATCCGGACTGGACAATCTGCTAGAACAAATCCAGAAGAAACCGAAAGCGAACATCCTGGACAGATCGAAGAAGGATTGGGGCGAGTTTAAAGACGAGAAGGGTCTCACGGAAGAACTTGAGGCATACAAGAAGAGCGGTGACAAGTACTTGGACAAAGTAGCGTTTTTGCAGCGAGCGGACGATAGGGAGTACGAGAAAGAGCGTGACGCGCGTTTAGAGTACCAAGCAAAGCGTAGACTAGGAGCAAGCTATCAAGACGATTAAAATCTCTTTAATCATGTTTATAAGTTCTCAAATTAAGCCAAGTTTTACCAAAATGGTTAAAAGCAAAATTTCTCTAATAGGTGTTTTGCTAATAAAAACGAGAGATTGTGAGGAAAAGATGAGGAATTCTCTATCAAAAGCTTTTTGTGTTGGGAGAGTAGGACGAGAAAAAAGAAAGACACACAAAATGTTGTTGTGTATCTCTTTTATTCTTGGTTTAGCTTTAGCATCGAATTCTTCTTCTTCTTCTTTCACTTCTAGATCGTCAGTACTAATTTCACCATCGGATGCATCTTCAGCAGCTCCGACAGCCAGTCCGAGCAATGTGTCGCACTCCGCCACTGCCCCATCCATCGAGCAATTCGATGCCAGTGACAGCGATTTATATGATGACGACGATGATGGTCCCAAGGATCGGCTCCATAGATTCGCCAAGCACACATTCAAGCTCGCCATTGTGTGTGTATGTGGTGTGGCGTTCTTGATTCTTGTGCTCGCTTTCTTCTGGGCGATCGTGAGCATTGGCTGGAAGAGCATGTAAGTTTCAATCTATTCCACTATTGTTTCAAGTCATGCAGTCGATTTCTCTTCCAGGAAATCTGGATGCGCGAAACCATCGCAAGACGCGGAATTTGGATCAAGAAGGAGCGAAGATCTGATGGGGAGAGGTAGAAGTCATAGTCATCCATTCGACTGTAAATTCTAGATTTTTTCCTCCGATCATCGGCTAAATGATCTATTCTTTACTGTACAGTGAAAGAATAAAGAGGAATGTTCTTCCCTCGCTCGCATGGAACTTGTGATCCACTATTGTGGGAAAGGATGGTTGATTTGATCGTTTCCATTTGGCTAGGGATTGGTTTGCGCGATTGAATTCGAGAATGGATCGTCTGGCTTGGATCGCGCTGGTGTTCTTGGTAGGATTTGCGATTCTGGCGACAATTCCTTGCTTTGCGCAAGAATGTGATGCTCCATGCTGTGGATACCTCCCGCAGGGCGGGAATGGATTTTGCTACGATGGCTACTGCTGTAGCGAGAGTGGATTTTGTGGAATCGGAGAGTACTACTGCGGGAATGGCTGCCAGCGAGAGTTTGGCGATTGCTACGACTTCTAGCAAGATTTAAACGAGCGAAAAGATTCTCGAATAATCATGTACGAAAATATTTCTGGAATGTACGGTGCTGGAACTCGCGGGA